GGTCTTTGCTTCCTTTGTGAAAGAAAAACTGGGTGGAGAATTAAAGAAGGTCCTAGAAGCCTCATTGCTTTCTGCTCTCAGGTCCCCTGCTCATTCCCCAGACTTGGGTTTCAGTTAGCTGAGCTAATGCTGCTTGTTCAGTGACATAACCAGAAGCAGTTTGGTGATGTAGGTCAGTTAAAAAAAACAAACAGTCCGTGGCTGCCGTGGTAAGCATGAGGCAGTCCTACTTGGAATGAGGTTTGTGTGTGCCATCGGTTTGTAATGTCAGTCCCAGCCCTACTGGAGCTGAGCGGAAGTGAAGTGTGTGTGACCGGGATGCACTGTGTTTTTGGTGGATGTGAGTGAAGTTCGAGTTCTGCATTTTGGTTAGTGCAGTGGTCAGGTTTCACATGAATGCCAAGCCGGCCATCAGCAGGGTCCTGTGGGACCTGAGGTGGGCAACCAGGGCAGGGCCTCGCCGGGTGTTCCTAGTCTTTGTGGGGTGTGACACTGCGTTGATTCTGCAGCTGCTCATTGAGCGCCTGTTACGTGTGAGGCTCTGTTTGGCACCGAGGCTAGAGAGGCGAGTAAAGAGACCAGGTCCCTGCTCTGTGGAGCTTACATTCTAGCTGTAGATGCTGTCAACGAGCAGATGAAATAAGCCCTCCCGTGTGCTGCGGGGCTCTGTGTCCCCAGGCCACCAGACACCAGCTCACACACCCCTCTCCCTCGGCTTTCTGTTGCATTTTTCCCATGGTGCCTTGCACAGAACAAGGGCTAAATAAATATTGATGTGATTATGCAGCAGCTGATGTTCATACGTGGAGCAGGACAGGAGCGAGGTGGTGTTAGTTCAGACGTCCGTGGACTGATTTTTACATGGTGCGTACCGTAGCGTGTGCTGGGGGGCAGATGCTGTGTTGGTGGTCTCTCCGACTCCCAAACAGGCAGCCTTGGTGTGACTGATGGATGGTAAAGATGTAAGCTGGAGGCAGGCTTAGGGAGAACAGGGGATCAGTCTGGGAATCCAAACTGGGAGCTTTCAGAAGGAGACGATGTCTGCACAAAAATACATGTTGGCTACAGGAAAGACAAGGAGCCTTGGTGCTGCTGGCACAGTGGTTAAGCGCTTTGCTGCTAATGGAAAGGTCAGTGGTTTGAACCCACCAGCAGCTCTGTGGGAGAAAGATGTGGCAGTCTGCCTCCGTAAAGATTACAACCTAGGAAACCCTGTGGGGCAGTTCTGCTCCGTCCTGCAGGGTCGCTGTGAGTCAGAATTGACTTGATGGCAACAGGTACAAGAAAGGCTACAGGAAAGTCAGCTCTGGTGGTGCAAATGGTTTGCACTCGACTGTGAACCTTAAGGTTGGCAGTTTGAACCCACCCAGTAGCACTGAGGAAGAAAGGCCTGACGATCTGCCTTTGTAGTTGTGTGCCCTCTAGTCTATTCTGACTCACAGCGACCTTATATGACAGAGTAGAACTTCTCCATAGGGTCCCCCTAGTCTGTAATCTTTACAGGAGCAGATCGCCAACTCTTTTCTCCGGTGGAGCTATTGGTGGGTTTGCGCCACCAGGGTTCCTTTCTGTAAAGATTACAGTCAAGAAATCCTCTATTGCAGTTCTACTGTGTAACACACGGGGTCACCAATGAGTCGGAATGACTTGGAGGCAGTGGGTTTATTTTGGTTTGGTTTGGTTTTTTACGTGAAAGCAGTTATTCGAGGGCAATGGATTTGTTTTGTTTTTTTAAGTGAAAGCAGGTGGAAAAGTGTTCTAGGCTGATTGATACAAGCAGGCGTCCAGGAGGGGAACGTGAGCACCGGGTGTGTAGGGGACTGCAGACTCCTCAGTGTCACTGTAGTAGGGTGTGTGGTGGGGGACGGTGGTGACAGGGAGGCCTCTGCAGGAGCTTGGAGCCCAGGTCGAGGGGAGACACTGCAGAGTTCTGAGCATGATCATCTGGCTGCTACATGAGGCCAGACTTAAGGGGTGAGAGCCGCAGCAGGGAAAGAAGGTCTGACTGTGGCAGTGGTGGCAGAGCTGGGTACCAGGACAAGGGGACGCAGTTATTTAGGGAGAATCTGATTGGGTCTCACCCTGGTGGTCGTGTTCTTTGGTGGCTGCTTTCAGAGCTTCGTACCCTGAAGAGTTACCCCTCCCATCGGACGAGCCATCTCCCGCACCCCTCCCCATCCTTGGCCTGCGGCTGGAACTAACTCCATTCCTTTCCTGTCGCGGGGGCAGCCAGGCCTCCTGTGGTTGCCGAAGCACTGCTGTCCACCCTCTGCATGCAGGTCTGCTGGCACAGCTCTCATCCCCAGGAAGCTCCCCCTCCACGGCCAAGTTCTCTCCCTACTCTCTTCGTTCCTCAGTCGCCTGGCACTGTGTGTCTTTGCCATGCGTTCATTTTCTCTGATGCCCCCGCTCATTTCTTCCTTCATCAGATGATTGCTGCACCCCTGCACGTGCCAGGTCCTGGTCTTGGCTCGTGGGACGCCCACACGGAAACCAACACACGGGATACAGAGGGGCACAGGGCAGAGTCTCTGATCTCACAGGCTTCCTAGTGAAGGGAGGCAGACCATAAACAGAGCTACGTAAGGCAGCCAGGGTGGAGAAGCAGCCCTTTAGCCTCACTATGAGGCTGGCCTCTGCTGCTCAGAGGGCCTGAGGAGAGCGTGTTTCATCAAGTCTGCCCTGGCCAGGCCCACCTCTCCTGGGCTGTGTGTTAGTGACAGCTGGGAGAAATCTAACCCAAACTGGCTTAAGCAAAAACCGACATTTACTGGTAAACCGAAAAGCCTAGAGCAGGGTTAGATTTGGGTGGATTCAGGCCCTCAAGCCGTGTCACCAGGATTCAGTGCTTTCCTTTGTCTCAGGCCCCTGTGGTAACAGGCTGGTAGTACCAGGAGTATGTGCCACCAGCCCAGCAGCCTTTTCCCGAGAGCTTCAACAAAGTCCTGGACCCGAATCTCAGTCCCGTCATTGCCAGACCCGCATCCTATGCCACCCCAGGGACCGGGACTGAGCTTGGCTCCATCTGGACCTCATGGGGCAGGGGAGGGGTGGTGCCCTGAAGAAAATAGGGGGTTGGTGGCTGCTAGGTTGACCCAAACTCTGGATCCTTACCAGCTATGTCGGTGCCTTGCAGCTGGCTGGGGAGCTGGGGCTGGTCTTTGGCGCCAAGAGTAGCGCCAGAAGGCCTGAGGATTCCCTGAGTGGACGTTGCCTGAGTAAGCTGCTGCTCTGCCCCAGCCCCCCCAGCCTTTCTTTGACATCATCTGTTGTCTGCCATATTCATTCATTTATTCGGTCATTTGGCTCTTTTTAAGCAACTGCTGTGCCCTGTGCCCGGGAGGTGACTGCCGGGGCTGGAGAGTCCTCATAGAGATGGAGGATGACCTCCCTTCCTCTCTTGGAGCTGTTAGGTCTTTTCTCTCTTACCCCTCCGATAGTCCCCACGGGCCGCTCTGCGAGGGCTGTCGCGGTGGCTCAGACTGGAGCATGGTGAGGCTCCAGGGAGTCTGGCAGAGGAAGTGGTCCCCACCACAGTGGGCGGCCTTACCCCGGGATCGAGACCAGTTCCGTCCTGTTTCTCCAGGAGTGGGCATGGTGTCCATTTGATTATCTTGGTTCTGGCCCTTTCTCTCCTCACACCTCCTCCCAGCCCCATCTTCTCTGTCATGGGTGATGGATGTCGCCTCCTAACTGGCCTCCCCACACCCCCCCTCATGCCCCCTCCCCCAGTCTCTTTCCTGCTTAAATCTAAAACCCCCGCTCCTGTGACAGCACTTCCCGAAATCTTTACCAGAAACCCGCTCCCTGGTGCCCCCCCCACCCCGGTCCAGTTACTCTGTCACCCTCACTTCTCCAGTCCCCCCAGACTGTGGTGCCTCTGCACCTGCCGCACCCTTTGCTGGGGCCTTCGCCTGGAGACCTAGCACAGTTCCTCTTCTCGGGGACCCTTCCCCGACACCAGATAGATCAAACCAGTCCCTCACACAGTGTGTCCTTGCATACTTGTTCCCTCCCACATGGCATTTGTCTCAGGGTGATGATGCTGTGGCAGTGCACAGCTCCTGGCTCCCCACTAGAGCGGGGGCTCCTGGACAGATGCTCACCCACCTCATAATCCCTCTGGGTCCACATCCACATCCCGTCCCCCGTGCCTTCCTGCTGAAGGAGGCCTGGAACACCCACAGGTTCATCAAAGCACACCCAAAACCCACCACATTCCGGCCGAGGCAGTAAGGCAGGCGGAATCCGGGCCTCCCTGTGGGTTCGAGCCACTCCAAAGGTGGCCTGCGGAGCTTCCCGAGCGGCGCCCACCCTGGGGCCAGGGCAGAGGGCTGTGGGTCTGGCTGCCCCTGGACAGGAGACCCAGGGCAGTGCTTGGGAACCGCAGACACCGCCCTTGTCCTGTCACGTGACTGAGCATCCCAAAGTGTCTCCTTCCTTCAGCAGCAGCTGTGCAGGATGGGTTCTCATGGTTACACTCAGACGCATCAAATGTTGGTTAGCTCTCCAGAGAGCATGAGCGGCGTGCTCTGGGGTTGCAGACTGGCTGCCCTCAGGCCTCATCTGGCCTGCAAATGAAGGAAAAAAACAACTAATTTAGTCTCCAACATTTAAAAATTGGGAGATGCCCCAGGAAGATCGGGTGCCTCTGAGCTGTGTTCCTACCAGGCCACAGATGAGGGCGCTGAGTGGTGGCTGCCCCAGTGCTCTCCAGCCTGACACCCCTCCGCTGCGCTCCCACACTCATCCACATCCCCTGTTCCCCCTGGGTTTTAAAAACTTGTTATTGACATAATGTACATACAGAAAAGAGCGCATCTCGTTAAGCGTGGAATTGTCACAAGCTGGCCAACCCTTACATCTAACACCCAGGTCAAGACACTCTTCTGCGTGATTTGGAGTTAATGTGTTTTTTGTTAAGCTTATTTTAAAAGTAGCTTTGTTTAGTGTATGACTACAGTGTTGGGGGGAAAAAAAAACCATTTTTCTTTTTGCAGAAAAGCCTGCCATTGCTCCGCCTGTCTTTGTGTTTCAGAAGGATAAAGGACACAAGGTAAGGGGTCAGTCCATTCTCTCTCACATCCTTCCTCCGATCTGCTCTCTGGCAGAGGGGAGACTGAGCAGGGCCTCTGAGCCTGCCCTTTCAGGCTTCAAAGGTCCCATGGCCTTGGGTTACCACAGAGAGGTTCAGATTGGTCAGGTGGGGACAGGGCTGGGAGAGCACTGCTTTAAAACAGTGTCAGAAACTTCCGTCAGGTTCCAGTGGTTCATCTCAGAAGTGCCACTGTGCATTAGGGAAACCAACAGCAGAGGAAGAGAGAGAGAGTAGGGAGGAAGGTGGGCGGGAGGGACGGAGGGAAACAGGCAGGCAGGCAAGAGAGCCGTGGCCGTAAAGGGAGGTGGGCAAAGGGCCTTGAAAGATTACAGGGGGTTTTCTGCCCAGACCCACTTGGCACAAACTCATGGTAAAATAATGATGCGTTCACTTGCATCATCTGTCTGTCCCACCGTCTCTGCTGGGTTGCATACACCACTGGGACAGGAAGTGTGTGCAGGTTGCATGGCTGTTGGAAGTGTGTTGTCCGATTCCTACTGATGAGCCCGCGGCGTGTGACAGGCTTGATGGGAGTGGCAGGAGGGTCCTGTGATAGGAGGACGATGGCGACGATGATGATAGCAGATGGTGTTATTTACCTGGGAGTCACTGGTTTCACACCCGTCCCTGAAGAGTCACAGTGTGGCCCTCAGAGTCATGTCAGAAAGGAGCTGACACTGGCCAGGGGAATAGTAAGAATAACGAGCACCCAGGGGCAACCTCTAGGTTGCTGCCTCCTGCCCCCAATTCGAGTGCCCAGGGGCAATCTCTTAAGTTGCACCCTCCCCCATTTAAGATGAATAAACGTTGATAGCTGCGAGGTGTCAGCCGAAATGTCTCCCCCCGTCTTGTCCAGCTGCCTCAATCAGGCGCTTTTCATGTTTGTGGCGCCTTGAAATTACATTCTGCAGCTGGTCTGGCACCCCCTTGGACTTGCGCCTGGGGGCAAGTGCCCCCCTCTAGCCTGCACCCCTCACTATGCCTCTGGTTGTGGCAGTTACCCCTACTCTCACACGAGGACTTCCTTGATTTATTTAGAAACCTTGTGGCATTGGTTGTCATTTAATACCCGTTGCAAGATCTCATTCTGACAAAAAGGCTGTGCTGAATTCTGTACGCTCTTAAATGCGTTTGTATCTCGTTAATAATAACAGCATTTGAAAACTTCATCAGCCCAGTGCTAGGGCTCAACAGCGGATCCCAGGCCTCTGGCGGGGCTGCCGGCCCCAAGGTTGGGAACTGCAGGTCTGCCAGATCCCATCTCTTGGTCTAAGAAGAGAGGCCAGAGCTCCTGTGGCCCAGTGTTCCTGGACAGCGTTCACGTGTTCTGCCAGGGAGAGAGTGTGGGGGCATGGAGGGGTTCTGCTGTGAGTGGAAAGTGGCTGCCCTAAATCCCCACCCTACCCGGGTACCTACTGTGTTGGCCCAGCCTTATCCACTAGGCTTACAACTTTAACTCTTTAGTTACATTCCCACTGTCAGTTCTTTTGCTGAAGAAAGGGTCACTAAACCTGTGCAGGCTTTCTTCCGGTTTGGCTTTGGTCATCCAGGTGATATTTTCAAGATCCACCTTGCTTCCAGAGCGAAGAGGGATACATGGACCACTGCTGTCCCTTTCCCTTGGGCCCTGACCCGTACAGCTTTCTTACATGTGTTTTTACAATGTGTCATTTGGAGGTTCAAGTCTAAAGGGACTGATGTGTTTCCTCTAGATTTTAGAAGCAGAATATTTAAGTATTAGGCATCAGAGATTTTAGATTCTATTTTAGATGTTAAGGTTTTACTCAGATTTTCAGTAAAATCTGAATTTTCTAGAATTTTGCATTTTATGATAATCATCTTTTGGGCCAGTTTCAGGTTCAAATATGGGTCAGCAAGCTGAGGCCTGCTGCCACCACCTAGTTTTGTAAAGTTTTATTGGCATACGGCCACGGCCGTTTGTCATGTTATCAGCTGTGGCCGCTTTCACACTACAGCAGCAGAGTTCAGTTATTTCAGCAGAGACCACATGACCCGCAAAGTCGAAAATACGTCTTTAGTGTCTGGCTCTTTACAGGAAAAGTTTGCCCGTCCCCAGTTTGATGCGAATAATAGGAATTAATAATCCTGTAAAATTGGAAGACTTCAGGAAAACCGGTGGGACGAAACACTGGAATGTAAGATTTGTTCAGATGATTTAAAATGCTTTTAAAGCCACTGACTCCTATCGTGGTACTGTTTTCCCAGCTGAGGTGGTTCTGTTGCTTTGTAATGGGAGGCCCATTTACATGTATCCCTTCAAAAGGCCTATGCAGATCACTTAAGCTGGAGTGAAACTGAACAGGAAGACCAGCTAGGAAGGCTTTTACCATCATTTAGAAAATGCACAAGTGTCACTCTTATCAAAATATTGACTCAGAGCCAATTATAAATGAAATTCTAAAAATAACTGGGCTGGAGCCCTTCAGAGTTTGGCTCTCGGCGTCTCTCACGCTGTGTCACAAGATCACCAGAAGGGCGTGCAGGAAAACGTCGGGTGGAGAAGCAGGAGGAGCTTGTGTGACTCTTGAGTGAGGCTTTAGGGCTCCTTTGCTTGCAGGTAGGCTGTTGTTAGCTGCTGTCGAGTCAGTTTTCAATTCACGCCGACCCCGTGTGTTAGAGCAGAACTGCCCCACAGGATTCTCTAGGCTGTACTCTTTACAACTGTGGGCTCAAGCATAACAACGATCACGAGAACGGTGCAGGACCGGGCAGTGTTTTGTTTTGTTGTACATAGGGCCGCTGTGAGTCGGAACTGACTCAACAGCACCTGACAACAACAGTCTTTACAGGGAGCCCTGGTGGCACAATGGTTAAGTACTCGCTGCTAATCGAAAGGTTCGCAGTTCGAACCCACTAGCTACACCTCAGGAGGAAGATGTGGCAGTCTGCTTTTGTAAAGGTTTACAGCCTTGGAAGCCCTGTGGGGCAGTTCTACTCTGTCCCGTAGGGCTGCTATGAGTCAGAATCGATGTGATGGCAACGAGTTTGGTTTTCATCTTTACGGAGCAGATTGCGAGGTCTTTCTCTCATGGAGCTGGAGCCACTTAGGAGCTAAAGTTTCAGGGAGCGTTGCAGCTGATGCAGTATCTTTCTCTACTGCTGCTGACCCTTCCAGAAGTAAGGTGGTAAGTCACCATAGTAGGTCAGACATCTAGTTTTGTTTCTCCAAGGGAGACATGAAGGCAGGTCTGCAAGGAGCAGCCACAATATCTCTGTCAAAAAGAAGACTTGGAGACCCTTCTCGGTTTCTTGTCTCCCACCGAGATTTCGGCCCATCTCCCTCTCACGCTGCAGAAGCCAATCGGGAAAGGGCTGTTCTGGCTGGGTTGTGTTTTCTGAGCAAACTCCCCCCTTTCTTTTTCAGCTTTTTATCTTGAAAATTTTCAAATCGTAGAACGTTTAAAAGAACGGTCCTGTGTGTCACTTGCACCTAGCTTCACTGATTGTTCACGTTTTGTCATAAATGCTGAAGCCTTCGACTGTAAGTTGCAGCCACCTGACATTTCACCCCTAAGTATTCCGCAGGCGTCTCCTAGGGATAGGGGGCTTCTTCTCCACGGCCCCAATACCACTGTCGTGATCCTGAGTTCAGTGATGTCATCCAATTTATAGTCCATATCTGAGTTTTCCTGATTGTCCCCAAAATGCCCTTTGGAGCAGTTTTTGTAGCAGCTTTTTGGCCCACAAAGAGTGGTTGTCAGCTGTGGGGCCAGTTAAGTTACCTTTCAGGAAATGATGTCAAACCACCCCACACGCACTTCAAAGAGCCCATCTCCCCCTTCCAAAGGTGAGAGCCCTACATCCCGGGTGTTTTATGGGACTGACAGCAAATCCCATACAGCTGCGAGCCTTTCATTACTGAGTCATGATCAAGAGACACAGGATTGGAAATGGAAGATTAAAAACGAAGCTGACCGCCCAGGAGCTCTTAGGTTTTGTTCAACAGCGAAACCACACGGCATTTTCCAGGTCCTGGTGACAGGCTGCAATTGCATTTCCAGCAAAGCACAGATTGGGGGCGGCCTGCCTCTGGAGGGCTGGGGCATCTCTGAGCTTCATAGAAGCCTGCCAAGTCCCTGTTCCATGTTAGAAGAACCAGGTGGCAGCCTGGTGGTGCAGCGGTTAAGCACTCAGCTGCTGACAGAAAGGTTGGAAGTTCAAACCCACCCAGTGGCTCTGCAGGAGAAAGACCTGGCGATCTGCTCCCATAAAGTTTACAGCCTAGGAAACTCTATGGGGCTGTTCTGTTCTGTTACATGGGGTCGCGATGAGTCGGAATCAACTTGATGGCACCTAACAACAACAATCTTAACTCCAACCCAAGCGCCTGAAGTGAATCCAGGGCCCGATCGACAGCCTGGGGGATTTTATTGTCTTGTCCTTGTTCCCATTGCTTCCTGGGTCCACTCTTCATCAGTTGCCGTGTTCATATGCGTCTGGGGTTTAGCAGCAAAAATAAACCTTTTTTTTCCTTAACTGCCTTGAATGAAGACAGACGGTTCTCCTTTTTTTTTTTTTTTGAATGTGAAGAGAATTTAAATATTCTCATGTTAGTTGTTTCGTCGTGTATCATGACTAAGTATTTCCTTCAGTTACTTTAATTTTTGAGCGTTTTTTAAGTGAAGGCAGAAGATTTTGAGATTTGCACCGGCAGAACAATGCCCATTTGGAAAAAAGACAGAAGGTAGTTGCGGAAATGCCATTTAGCAGAATGTACTGTGTCAATGAAAACTGTCATCAATGTGTTTATATCTCATTTCAAGCTTTGCTTTTGGGATAACAGGCTTATCGTGTGTACATATTTTAGGGTGAATTCAAAGGCTGACGAATTCTTGATGTCTGATTTTAACAAACACGCTGAAAAGCTACAGGCTTCATGTTGGTTCTTTAGAGCATACTTTTCTCACCCAGGAGAAACACTAGGACCCAACTAGAAAATGCTAGAACAGCATTTGTTGATTTTCCAAAGGAAAGTGGTGATGCGGCATTTCCCAGCCACTGGCAAGAGTCGACGATGACTTTTTAACTTAAGATGAAGAACTCAGTTTTGCTTTGGTCCTTGGATTTTCCATCTTTATAAATTTATTTTTGGTCCTCTGATTCAGGCTTGTGTTTCTGGTTTGTCACGAGAGCATTTGAACATTCATGTTCAGGGAGAAAAAAAGTTCACGTGGTTCTAATTAGAGATAGGCAGTTGCGCACCGAGCTCTGGGTTTAATTTTCTCTCGAGAGGTGTTAAATCTCTGCCACAAGGGATCAGCAGGCATTGGGGGGAGCTGGCAGCACTGCCCTGTGCCGGACTGGGGAGTGGCCTGCAAAGGAAGGCCTTTGTGCCCACAGATCTCCCCAAATAGAGAGTCGATGGTAACTCTTTATGTGTACGGATGAGCTAACATTGGGTTGCTTTTTGCTCTCCTGAGAATTTTTGAAAGTTCTGTTAAACCTTTGCGTAGTTTGCTTAGTTCCTTTCATCCCACAGGGTCACATGTTACAAAGTAACACTGGCCCCCTGTCTGACAGGTCAGTCATTTCACACTCTGAAGAAGCGCAGCCACTTTTGAGGGGAGATGGTAGCAGGCACCCCATAGTCATTTAGGTCACAAAGTAAAAACGAAACAGCTCCATTTCATTGGAAAATGCCAAGCGGTAGGTTTGGGAACTGGAGGACACCAAGTTTAGAGCCCATTTCTCAAGAAAAGATTCTTGGAGTTCTTGCCACAGAGCTCTCAGGCCAAAGAAGCCCCTCCGGAATCCAAAGAACCACCGAGAAGAATGGCAGGGATATTGTGCTCTTGGGGATGAAGACTTCCAGAACCAGCTTCCTCTACTCCTGGCTGTGTTCCAAATAAGCCCTTGCCCTAGGTATCCAGGGTGAGACTGGGAGAATCCTAGACTCCTAGCTGGGTTCCCTCCTGCCACCCAGCTCCCACCCACCCACCTGCCCTCTGACACAAACCCACCCCTCCCTGCCCTCGTCAGCGGCCCCACACACCTGCACTCAGTGAGGCAAGGAAGTGCTGCTGCTTCTCAGGTTTAAGCAGGTCAAAGGTAAAGGTGCTGGATGAACTCTAGTGAGTTCATCTTCCCGGCCTGCCTCCCCACCTTCCCTAGTGGGCAGAAACGGTGCTGAGGGCCAGCTCCCCTTTCCAGCATTTTTGAGGGGTTTAAAGCTGCGGTGTCCTCGCCCCTGTTGAGGCAGCAGCTCCATCCGCGCACTCTCTGGTAAAGGCACCGCCACCATTTCAGTCACCAGCGTGGTTTTTCCTCCCTCGCGGCCCATGAGCACGGTTAACTCCATGCAGGGCCGTCTTGCAGTTTTAAAAACAAGGGGCTGGACTTCCTGCATACTGCAGTGCTTGCAAAGTCAAACAGCCCCAAGTCCACGTTCATTTTCCCTTCTGTCAATCCAGAAGGCCGGTTGGGTTGACCGGAACACGGTGGCGCTTGCCCATCTTGGGGCTCATCCTCCCAGGCAGCTCCTGCCGTCATTCCTGGGCAGGCACCTCCAGCCTCGTGACCCCTGTCCCTGCCCTCCCCCACCCCATGTCGCAGCCTTTACATTGAAGGAAAATTGTCTTTTTTGCTCCCAGTCCTCTGCAGAGCAAAAAGATTTGTCGGATTCGGGAGAGGAGCCTCGGGGGGAGGCTGAGGCCCCTCACCATGGCATGGGTCACCCCGAGTCAGCGGGTGAGCATGCCCTAGAACCTCCCGCCCCCGCTAGTGCTCCAGCCAGCGCTCCTCCGCGTCCCGCTCCTGAAGCCCAGCTTCTTCCTTTTCCACGAGAACTGGCAGGGGTAAGTCCGCACCTACCCGGCACTCCTACTGCCCAGGGGGTCCCAGGCCAGAACGGCCCCTTCCCCTTTCCCTTGGGTCCCCCAGCTCCATGCTCTAGACGGTGTGCAGCAGATGATAACTCGGGAAGACTCTGATAGGGCTCCCTCTGGCTCCTTTAATTCATGTTGCTGAAAAGTCAGGCAAGACTCCATCCCCATTTATATTCAGACTTTTCTAACTGGGGACCATCTTCCCCAAAGCAAGACACCAATCCTGGTTCCTGCAGGAGACTCAAGGGGCCAAAAGTGGAATCGGGTCATTGGGTAGAACCTCCCAGATCAAATCCAGCCCCTTCTCCCCTTCCATTTTTCTTTGTCCTTTCTGTGAACTTGGACATCCGAGTTCAGTGTCTTAGAAACCCAAGAAGCTAAGGCTCCCTTTGATATATAGAAGAAGAGGCACTGTCTAGCACAGATTGCTTTGCAAGACTGATTGTGTTTGGACTGTGGTTAGGCAGTGAACTGCTTGTCTTCAATCAAAGCAGGAAGAAGAAAAGACTCTTCCTTTGAATCCAGAGGGAGGCCCTTGAGCCCTTTATCTTTGTATTAAGAAGGCTTTTGAAGATTATAGGTGGAGAAGATTGTGGACTCTGGAGAACAAGAAATGTCTTGGGGTTTTTGAAGTTTGATAAATTGGGAAAGGTAAACATCATCCTACATTCAGGATTGCAAACTCCATCCTCTGGGTCTCTAATGACAGACACCCCTAACTGGCATGACAGGGGAAGGTGACTCTAAGCAAGGAAACACAGGACCCTGCCATGGGATATTAGAAGGCCCCTGGGTGGTGCAGATGGTTAAGCAGTCAGCTACTAACAGCAAGGTTGGTGGTTTGAGTTCACCCAGAGGCACCTCGGAAGAAAGGCCTGGCAGTCTACTTCCGAAAAATCACAGCCATTGAAAACCCTGTGGAGCACTGTTCTTCTCTTATGCACGTGGGGTCGCCATGAGTCGGAGTTGACTCAGCAGCAACCGATTTTGGGATACTGAACATCAGGCAGCTTTCCAGGGTATCACAGTCATGAACCCTTCCCCAGACCTTTAGCTCTTCCTTGCGTTTTTTAAGGAAGTCTTTAAAGTTCAGCCAAAGCCGCCAAACCCTAGGGATACTCAGGAAGAGGGGACGTGCAGCCAGGATTCTCCTGAAGTCGTATTTTAACGTTTTGGAGGAATCGGTGTGTGATGGAAAAAGAAGAAGCCATCTTTACCACGTGTCAGAGTCTATAGAAAAAGAAAAACAAGTCTCAAGTCCTTTAAGGCTCAGAATTGGGTTTGGTGCAGTTAAAGATACTCAACCCAGTAACGATCCCAGCCAGGAGGTACTCATGCCAGATTGTTACTGGGAGCACAGCCTTACCAGGAGAGCACACGAGCACCGGCAGAGCAGGAGCTAAGATGTGGTCACTTTTGTGGGGGCAGAGCAGCACCTGGAAGTGTCTCCCGAGTTGGGTGCAAGGACAGGAAATCATGATCTCAGTTCTCTGTCCCCACCCCTCTAAGAACACAGGATCTTCTTCTGGATCCCTCCTAGAGGCTAGGCTCTTGGGGTGCTCTGTTTGTGGCCTAGTTTGAAAAAGAGCAGCTCACGTAGGCACCCCGACTGCAGAGGTCGAGGGTTTTACAAGAGCAGCAGACACACGGGCACAGAGTCGGCAGTGACAGCTCCTCTTCCAGAGGCGCACGGGGCATTTCAGGTCCCGCTGGGTTAGACTGGCTGCCTGCCGCACTAAGAGGCCTGTACAGGAAGTGTCCCGGAAGCCTGGCTGACAGCTGTGGGCAGCCTGTGCTCACTGCGGCCCACTCAGCCTGAGTGGTTGCCCGTGTCTGTGGAACTCGGCTTCTCGATCCTCATGGACTTTGGGCAGAGCCTCTAAGCCCAGGAAATCCAAGCAGGCCACAAACAGCACACGAAAGATCAAGAATTGTCGTCAGGTGCCGTGGAGTCGATTCTGACTCATCGTGACCCCACGTGACAGGGTAGAACTGCCCCATAGGGTTTCCTAGGCTGTCATCTTTACGGGAGCAGATTGCCAGGTCTTTCTCCCTTGGAGCTGCTGGGTGAGTTTGAAACGCTGACCTTTTGGTTAGCAACTGAGCGCTTAGCCATGGCACCACAAGGGCTCCTAAGAATTGTTATAGGGAACCTCGAGATGGGTTGGTAAGTCACTGTGGGGGAGAGCAGCATTGGGCACGCACCATTGTGGTGCTGAAGCCCATGTTTGGTTTGGTTTGGCTTTGTTTTCTGAGGTGTAACATAACATTCATACAATCTTTAGTTTTAACATCTGTAGCTACAGGTAATGCCCAGTCTCTCCTGAAGTCAGGTAGTTCCATCATGACACCACTTGGTGACAGCCCTGAGCTGCCCAAGGCTGGCTCCACTGGGCCCTGAGCAGAGAAAAGCCTGGTGGGTTACCAAGGAGTCTCACTAATTGGCTTTCTCTACTGCTTGGGCCTGGTGAAGGCAAAGTAAACTTTTTTTTAGGTCAATTAGGCCATAAATCAAATCGATGGAACCCGATCCCAGCTGCCTATCGGGCTGGGGTGTCTATTTGGTTCCCTCTGACTGGTATCTTTTGCATCAGAACTTTGGAGTCTGCTCTGTACTGCAGTGGAGTTCAGGAAGCTGCCTGCATGTTACCCAGCAGGTCTCATCCATCACGTCTCGCCTGCTCTTCATCCTCTGGTCCCAGCGGGAATGTAAAGCTGAGAGGTCTTTATAATAAATAGCAGCTTGCTGCATTGTTGCTTATAAAAGGCCTTATCGTCTTTCGGTCTCATCAGAAGTCTGGCCATGGAAGGCTCAGTACCAGGAAAAAGTCTCTATACATCAGACTTGCTGGCTCTTGGAAGACAGCTTGAAGAAGACCAAACCACATCCAGATTAAGTTCTCAGCCTGAGCTGAGAAAGCAGGCAGCTCTTGGTGCTTCTTCCGAGCCAGGGGGGCTGGCCTGGCCTGGAGCCTAAGATAGGCTTATTAGACCCTCCAGGTAACTTAGGAAGGTTCCAGAATGGGCCCCTCTGGCTGGACAAACCCCACTCCCCCATCTTCTGACCCCTGTGCAGGATCTGCCCTTGCTGCCCTCAGCTGGCAGATCGTTCGAGGCTGCCTCTCCCTCTCTCTTTCAGTGTCTGCCTTTTTGGTAAGAATTTCTAAACTGGTGGCCTTGGTCACCATTAGGTGACAAGGATAAGTGAACAGGTTCCTGCTCCTCACTTGTTTTGAGTCCCAGCCCCCATTTTCCCACAGTAACCCTCGGCCCAACTCCCACTGGTCTGTTCCAAACATCCACTGCCGAGGCTCAGTCAGGCCAACTAGTATCCAGCGTTTTCTGGAAGGAACTTATCTGACACCAGCTTGCTTTCTGGTCTTTCCCTGGGGTGTCAGGAAGGCAGCAGCATTCTTTCCTGCTCACTACTGACTGTCTATGTCTGTCTGTGTATTTTGCTAGGAACGCAGCCTCCAGCTCCACCCCTCCACCTGGATCGGGTGGAGCATGGGTGTCTATGGTCGCCGTGGGCCCTCTCCCAGCTTGGCACCTCTGTCCTCGAGGCTGTGCCAGGCAGCCTCACAAGAGCCATGGTTTTTTGGGGGGGTCTGAGGGGTGGGACAGAGATTCCTAATAGAGGTAACTCATTATTTTCATCATTCCATCTTTATACAAAGAACAGAAGCTTCCTGTGTCCACAGTCCCATCCCGGTTAGATGTGACCCCTGATTTTGTACTTGGCCACAGGGGCTCACACTCCTCACACAATGGAGCCGCTTCACCCAAGGTTCCGGTGGCTCCTGGGGGAAGACCCATCACCACTGCCTGCCTCCATCTAGCTGGCAGGGCCGACGGTGCCACCGGCGGTACGTGGTGAGCGCACCCTGGATTTCTCACATGGGCTCGCTCACTCCCCAGCTGATAGCCAAGCCATCTTTCATGGGCTGCTTTGTGTGTTCACACTGTTTTCTTTTGGTCTTTCTCGTGTTCTTCTGCCACCTTACGTAAGTGTAACGTGGAATGTTCTCACCATGGTGTTCTGAGTGGCGCCAGACATGGTGTGTTCCCAGGTGTCATGATCCTTGTGGTCATGGATTCTAGTTTGGGAGATGTGGAGAAGGAATTGGGGCTTCCAGACTCTGCTTCTTTCCTCAGCCTTTCAGAGAAGTACGCTCACAGACCCTCTCCCACCATTCCCCGTAGCAGTGCTCCTGAGCTCTGAACTGCGGGGCCGACTCCGCATGTGTCCCAGGCGTTGTCCTAGACCCGCTCCCTTGGTTGGGGCTGGGGGCAGCCCCCAGATGGCCCTGCCATGGAAAAGGCGCTGACCACCAGGCTGCTGTGTCTGTCGAGCTGGTGTGTGTCACATGTAGGGCCAGCAGTAGCTTGAAGGGGAGTTCTGCACCCCAAACATTTTCCCGCTCTGGGGGAAGATGGTGCAAGCCCAGACCTTTGGAGAGGAGAGGCTCTGTCCCCAGTGGGTGTGGAGGGGAGGGAGGGGTGGGCAGTGCCAGAAGGGCCAGGCTGCTCCCACGTGGGAGGTGGTTGAGGACTTCTGGAAGAGCCAGCCTAGCCCAGCAGGAGTGACTTTGCCTTGCCGTCTGCCTCCTTCCACCTGTTCCTGTCATGGAGAGGGGCTGGCGACAGTTTCTCACCGCTTTCCAGCTGGCCGTTTCAGAACCCACTGAGGTTTCAGCAGCACCTAAAGGCACCCACTGCTCGATTTTTCTTGGGGTGTCCTGGCTGCCCCAGCGTTCCTAGGACCAGGAGGCCCGCCATGTTTCTGTGGAGTGGTTCTTAGAAGAGATTTGGGGTACAGATTTGAGGGTCTTCTGAGGTCAGGAGGTCGAGGAGTAGCTGAATCTTGTCTGGCCAAGCACCCCTCTTCTTCTCATGGTCCCCAAAGGGAGTGTAACGAGGACACTGACTCTACTCTGCAGTAAACACATACTGAGGGACACCTGCGTGCAGACCCGCTCTGGGCATTGTGTGTGTGAGCTGCGGACAGACAAGGCAGGGCTCTCACTGCAGTGTGGGGGCTGGGGGGGGTAGGGGGTGTGCAGACAGTGAACAGACAAATCCGACCATGGTCAAGAGAACAGAGCTGGGGAAGGGGCCCAAGAGGGGCTGAGGGGGTGCTGCTTTCAGGGGTGATGGGCTAGCAAGTGACTGTCTCTTTAGAGGTGGGGTCACGGAGGGCACCTGGGGTAACAGTGAGCAGGGTCTGAAGGCTGATGCCACAGGGAACCACTGCAGGGCCTCCAGACCAGTGTCTGCAGAGCCAGCCCACCTGTCACAGCAGCTCGTCTAGGCCCACAGGTTCCTAGGTCATGGGGCTGAGGTGGCTTGGGAGAAGACACCAGGTGACAGGTGACATGTGAGCGATGTTGCTCAGGAGTGCTGGGTGATCAGATGTCATGTCGGGGCCCGAGATAAGAAAGCGGGCCGTGAACCACAGCGGGGTTCTCAGTCTCTCCCCAACTCCCCCAGAGGATATAGAGCACTTGGGATATGTTGGTCCATCAGGCACAGAACTGGGAGTCCCTACGATAGTGGAGGGTGGGCGTGCGTGGGCAAGAGGGGCGAGGAGAATGTGGCATTTCTTGAAGTTGCTGATGGGGTCGGGGCGACTGGGCTTCCAAAGTGGCCAGAGCCAGCCTCTTTGGACCAGCCCCTGCAGCAGCCAGGCGGGCCTGGGGCTCTCACCTGTGCCAAGTATGAAGGTGCATAGCCCCTGGAGAGGGTACTCCCTACTGTCCCCCAGGAAAGGGGTGATCCAGTGAGGGACAGGGGTGTTGGCTCTAGTGATGAGCTGGTGACAGCTCTGTATTCCCAGACGTGGCTCTGGCCTCTAGAATCAAAGCACCACAAGAACACGTCTTCTGCCCCCACCCCACCCCCCCAGCTGGACCCAGGATACATGCTGCTCTGACCCTCCTACCTGGGCTCTCACCTTCAAGACAGGAGTCAGCCAGCTTTGTTTTTGCACGGCCTGTTTTTATACTGCAATCTAAGAATGCTGTTTACATTTTTAAAGGGTTGTAAAGAATGAAAGCAAAGGAGAATATTGGACAGAAACCTAATTTGGCCCACAAAGGCAGAATGATTGACTGACTCTCTTGGCCCTTTCCCAAAAGTGGGTGCCACCCTCTGCTTCAGGAGGTTCTGGCTGCCAGAAACCGTGGTTTTGTTATTTATAGCAGTTAGTGCTTTAGTCGCCAGGCTACAGTTCACAAAGCAGTTGCACACACATCATCTCATTTTATAATCTTGCCAGCTCCACGAGGCAGGTGGTCCTCGTTTGGCTAAATTGATCGACCCCCAGGGTACTTCATGGAAAATCAGAAAATTGGCTCTTCTGCTTGCTCCAAGTTACTCCTCAGAATCTGCTTTTGCCCACTTAGTTCTGAAGAATAACAGGTCCCTCATGAGAGACTGATTGTCTTTAGGGAGGGGGTGCTCGCCTAAGTCCCCTTGATTGTTAGCTGTTCACAGTCTAGAATCAAGGTTGTTAACAAGGAAATTCTCCAGCCACCTTCTCTGAGCTGTGGTTGTTTGGTTGGCTCTTTGGTCTGTCGTATTGTTGTCTTATTTCTCTTCTGAAAGCTTTGTTTACAGTGGCCTTTGGTCCAGAGCATCCAAGTTCTCCCTCGCTCTGGAAAGAATAGCCAGCCCCCCTCGAAACAGAGGTCAGCAGGGTAGAACGTGCCAGGGCAAGGAAGGAAGCTGCCATGATCCAGTGTTGTGTGACCGTTTTAAACAAGCCCTCTGCCCTTCAAAGTGGAGCAGACTGCCTTCCAGCTCTTGGCAAACAGAATTAGGGCCCAATAAAATTTCACGGTGTTTAGACTTAGGGGTAGCATGCCAATAAGTCATAACCTGTGGAGATACAAAGAAACTGATCCTACTGTTTGTAGTAAAGGCTTTCTCAGCCCTGGCCAGAAATTCTTCACATGTGGTTTCGTAGGCCAGATGCAGAAGGTTCGTCAGAGGTAATTTTTGAGCTGTAGGGTGAAATCAGCCTGTAGTACAGATGACTGGGCTCAAGGAGGTAGGCCTCAGCGTCCTATTTCAGAATTCATTCATTCTGGGACTCACGGTTGTTCGCCTCTTGTCAGCCTGCCTGCTCTCACCACCCTGACTCTGCTCTTGTTTCAGAGGTCAGCTGGAGGCTCCAGCCCAGAAGGGGGAGAAGGTAAGGGCATCCCACAAGCGTTTGACCATCTTGGGTATAAAAATGGGAGCCACCTGACTCTTCCCTCATCGTTTTCTATAGATTCCGACCGAGAAGATGGAAATTATTGCCCTCCTGTCAAGCGAGAAAGAACATCATCTTTAACCCAGTTCCCACCTTCACAGTCAGGTAAGTCGCAGACTTATTGGGTGGTAAATGCGTTTGTGCGTATGAGCTTACCATTCCCTTCAGCGTCTCCAGTCTGCCCTCTGTCTCTCACCCAAGCCAGTACCACCACTGAGAATCAGTCTGACACTCGCTGTCCATCAGGAATGAGGTCAGAGCATGCCCAAAACGCAGCACTCGCACCCCCACCTGGAACCAGTGACACAGAGTGGTGTGGCCTAGTGGACTACAGAAGACGAGTCCAAATTGTCCCTCAGTAATGGAGGGGAAGGGATACTGGTGGCACAGTGGTTAAGTGTTTGGGTGCTAACAAAAAGATCAGCAGTTCAAATCCACCAGCTGCTTCTTGGAAACCCTATGGGGCAGTTCTGTTCTGTTCTGTTCTGTTCTGTTCTGTTCTGTTCTGTTCTGTTCTGTTCTGTCCTGTTCTGTCCTGTTCTGTCCTGTCCTGTCCTGTCCTGTAGGACCACTATGAGTCGGAATCGACTCAACGGCAGCGGGTTTGGTTTTTTTGGTTTTGAATGGAGGGGAGGCTGGACCGTGCAGAGCCCTGTTGTGACTCTGATACACCATTAACTACACCTCCTCTTGCCCCTGGCAGCCTGTCTTCGTAGACTGGAGTGGAGGGGCTTCCGTCTTCCGTGTGCTCCTTCTCAGTCAGCTGCATGCCAGAATGGAGCAGTCTAGTTGAGAAGCCCAGATGCTCGCACAGACTCACACACACAGCCTCACACTCATAGGCACACACACAGGCTCACACTCAGACACAGACTCAGACACACAAGCTCACACTCATAGGCACACAGACTTACACTCAGACACACACACAGACTCACACTCAGACTCAGACACACACAGACTCACACTCAGACTTACACTCACAGATTCACACTCATCAACACACAGACTTACTCATAGACACACACTCAGACACACGTACACACTCACGCTCATAGACTCAGTGATACAGACTCACACTCAGACACACTGATTCACACTCGTTGACACACAACACTGATAGACACCCACACAGACTCACACCGATAGACACACACACTCACAGTAAATAGCCCAGTGGAGTTCCCAGAGTAGGCTTAGTGGGTCCTTGAAGAGTGGGCCAGGCTAGGACTCTGGAGGTGGGTGGACCTGGAGGGCTTAGAGGCCCTGGACATGAGGCATGGTCCAAGCACATGCCCAGGGGACAGCAGCCAGCCTGGGTGTTGGTAGCTGGTGTGGAGAGAAGCAAGCCCCGGGGAGAGAGCACTGCTCCCTAAGGTACCTGTAAGTGGATACACTAGTTCACTGACCAGGGATGAGGAACCCTCCCGACAGTTTGAAGCCCAGGCTGCAACTGACAGGCTTTTTTAAGGGACCCCTGTGTGTTTGGACAGATGTTCCTGTGGAAGGAGGGAGCTTTCACTCCCTGGTTATTGATCTTACTCCTTCCTGCTGGCTCTCTAAGGTACAGCAGAAAAAGGGGTGGGGAGTTATAGAGAAAACTTCGTGCCATGGCCCTAGGCTAGAGGAGCAAAGGACCACCAAGCAGTTTTCTTTCTGGGCCCACCGGAAACCCGCCTCCCCTGCAGTCCTTTGGTACTTGGGAAACAGTCGAGGGACAGGAGGGAAGTGGTTCCGCAAATCTGATGGACTGATCTCGCCCTGCACTGACACCACGCAGCTGCCTCCTGTGCTCACTGCTCTCAGAATGGGTTTTCTAGCTCCGAGTTCCACTTCATTTGTGGGGAGCCTGTTGGCGGGCCTGCATCTGGGGAGGAGTTGATATTGTAAGGCGGCAGGGGCTCTTAAACAGGTGAGGGGGCTGCCCCCCACCCCACCCGTCTTAAACAGGTGAGGGGTCTACCCCACCTGGTCTTGAACAGGTGAGGGGGCTGCCCGCACGTGGTCTTAAACAGGTGAGGGGGCTGCCCCTACCCAGTCTTAAACAGGTGAGGGGACAGCACCATTCCGTCTTAAACCGGTGAGGGGGCCGCACTCCCCAGCAACACCGGGCTGGCGAGGGGAGCAGAACTGAGGCACTGTGACTCAAGTGAGACTTGGAACACCCAGTGGATCCCTTCCCTCTCCTCTGCCCCTGCAGAGGCCCAGGGGTTAAAGAGAAGCCAGGGGCATAGGGACAGATAGGCAGCCACCAGCAGACAGGAGTTGACTGCTAGACAGGGAAAGGCTGTGCTGCTGGAGTCCCCACCTTTGTGCCTCTAGCAGGAGAGTCTAACTGCCTTGTCCACAGGCTGCCCCCTCCCGGGGTGGGCTGGCCGTGAACCCTGTGGTGGGGACGGTGGCCTGGTGTGTGTCTGCCCTCTTACTCATGCTCTTTTTTCCCTCCCCTGCCCGCACCACCTTGCCAACAGTATCAAAAAACAATGTCTTCATGCCATCAACCTTCTGTGAATCATCTGCAGGCAATTCTGACTCGGAGCCAGGTGAGCCCCCTTCACAGCCTGTCATTGGGAGTATTGGCCGCGATGAAAGGCAGGCGTCCTGTAAAATAGGATCCTCACCAGGAATGCACACGTGAAATTGGGAGTCTTTCTTTCACTTCCTTAGTGCTTCCAAACTTTCTTCAGCCTGGAGGTTTGGGACCCACTGGGGGACAAGGCTTTAAAAAGCCCTTCAGTTTCTATTTCTGTAAGTAGTGCCTGGTTATAAAGAGTTTTAAGTTCATTTAAAAAGCAAAAACTGTAAAGAGGTGTATTACATGTTTTCTCAAAATTTTACATAAGTAAATACCTTCATATTATTGAAATCAGAAATGCATAGAGTAAAAAGAACTCCCTACCGCTTTTCACTCATTCTGCTACCCTAAAGGTGGTGGTGGTTGTTAGTTGCCATAGAGTCGATTCCAACTCATGGCGCCCCCACATGTGCACAGTAGAACTGCTCCATAGGGTTTTCAAGGCTACGACTTTTCGGAAGCAGGTCGCCAGGCCTGACTTCCGAGGCACCTCTGGGTGGGCTCCAACCATCGACCTGTCAACTGGTTAGTCAAGCACTTAAAGCCCAAAAGTGACTACCACTAAGTTCGTGTTATTTCCCAGACCCCTTTTCTGTGTATTAAATTCTCACATTAATTAAAGTCACTCAGATCTGTTTGAAGGAGCCCTAGTGACGTAGTGGTTAAAGCATTCAGCTGCTAACTGAAGGGTCATTGGTTCGAACCCACCAGCCACTGTGTAGGAGAAAGATGTGGCAGTATGCTTCCATAAGATCACAGCCTTGAAAACCCTATGGTGCAGTTCTGTGCTGTCTTATAGGGTCACTATGAGTCGGAGTAGACTCCCCAGCAGTGGGTTTGGAGATCTGTTCGGAGAAATACATCTGATCGCAGCTTTAAAACTGTAAGGAAAACAGCTTGGTCCCTTCTGAAGAATATGGAGCCCGCCTTTTTTGATCTTTTCACTGGAGAACAACTCCTAAGATTTCCTGAAAGTCTCCCATGTGGCTGAAAGTCCTCATGAAAGTTTTAATGAGGCGTTTAACAGCCCGCGTTCTGTAACCCATCCCGCCTTATATAAATTCGTTGTCGACTTCACACGCGTGGCGAGAGAAGCCATCCTCTGGCAGGGCGGCAGTGTCGGGACGAGGCCAGCCTTTCTGGCTTTGAGGACTGATCCGGTGGCACCGTCTCCAACAGCGTAATCCCGCTTGGCTCGAAAAGCCAACTGTTTTCAGCCGCCCTCCCCGCCTGTCCTGAAGAGGAGCTTGGTTTTTAAAGATCCTTGGGAGTCAGTATGTTGGTTGTACCCAGGGTGCTCGCCTGGAAGTAGTGCTCTGCGCACAGCGTAGGATGGGGAGGGCAGTGGTTGCCATCCCCTCCTCCACCCCAGTGCAGCCTGCGGCGAGGTGAGCTTTATCACTCTGGGTCTGGTCCAGACTGTCAACCACTGAAGCCAAGTGTCTTCATCCCTTTGCACCGTTGAGCTCTATTACACATGTCGTGGTCACCCCTGAGGTCTGTGAGTAAGCCTCCTGCCCCTCACACCACCCTTGAACCTCTATCCTCCAGCATAGAACAGGAGGGTACTGAGGAGAGGGGGCGGCTCAGACCTGTGTCAGGGCCCGACACGGCATTGTTTGAAGTCTCAGATTGTGATAGGAGTGGGGTCTATGAGACAGGGACGTCAGTCTGCTAATTGGTATTCTGTCAGTTCCTGGAGCCTTGGTGGCTTCAGTGCAGTTTGGACCTCTTCCGTCAGTTCTTGATCATACACTACCTCCTGAAATGGTTAAGTGTTGACCCGTTCTATTTGGTACAGTGACTCTCTGTATTCCTTCCACCTTCTTTGATGCTTCCTGCATCGTTTAATATTTTCCCTCGGGAATCGTTCAGTATTGCAACTCGAGGCTTGAATTTTCTTTTCGTTTCTTTCAGCTTGAGAAATGCTGCACGTGTTCTTCCTTTCTGGTTTTCTAACTCTAGGTGTTTGCACATTTCATTATAACACTTTACTTTGTCTTCTTGAGCTGCCCTTTGAAATCTTCTCTTCAGTTTTTTTGCTTCATCATTTCTTCCTTTCTTTCCTGTCTTTTTAATGACCTTGCTTTCTTCATGTATATTGTCCTTAATGTCATTCCACAACTCGTCTGGTCTTTGGTCATTAGTGTTTAATGAGTCAGATCTATTCTTGAGATGGTCCCTAAATTCAAGGTCTTACTTTGGTTCTCGTGGACAAGTTCTAATTGTCTTCAGTTTCAGCTTGAACTTGCGTATGAGCAGTTGATGGTCTGTTCAACAGTCAGCCCCTGGCCTTGTTCTGACTGATGATATTGAGCTTTTCCATCATCTGTTTCCACAGATGTAGTCACTTTGATTCCTTTGTATTCCATCTGGTGAGATCCACGTATATAGTCACCATTTCTGTTGGTGGAAAAAGGTATTTGCAATGAAGAAGTTGTTGGTCTTGAAAAATTCTATAATGTCATCTCCAACATCGTTTCTATCACCAAGGCCATATTTTCTAACTACTGATCCTTTTTCTTTGTTTCCAACTTTCACATTCCAATCACCAGTAATTATCTATGCATCCTGATTGCATGTTTGATCAATTTCAGACTGCAGAAGTTGGTAAAAATCTTCAATTTCTTCATCTTTGGTATTAGTGGTTGGTGCCTAAATTTGAATAATCATATTAACTGGTTTTCCTTGTAGGCATATGGCTGTTATCCTGTCATTGACAGCATTGTACTTCAGGGTAGATCTTGAAATGTTCTTTCTTTTTGACGATGAACGCAACAGCATTCCTCTTCAATTTATCATTCCTGGCAGAGTAGACCATACGATTATTGTCTGATTCAGAATGGCCGGTACCAGTCCATTTCAGCTCTAATGTCTAGGATATCGATGTTCATGCATTCCATTTCGTTTTTGACAACTTCCAATTTTCCTAGATTCATATTTCGTGCATACCACGTTCCGATTATTAATGGATGTTTGCAGCTATTTCTTCTCATATTGAGTCGTGCCACATCAGCAGATGAAGGTTCCATTCCGAAAGCTCGACTCCGTCCACATCATTAAGGTCGACTGTACTTTGAGGGGGCGGCTCTTCCCCAGTCGTATTTTGAGTACTTTCCAACCTGAGGGCTCATCTGTCAGCTCTATATCAGTGTTGTGCTGCTATTCATAAGATATTCACAGGCTAATTTTTTCAGAAGTAGACTGCCAGGCTCTTCTTCCTAGTCTGTTTTCGTCTGGAAGCTCAGCTGAAACCTGTCCACCATGGGTGACCCTGCTGGTATTTGAAATACTGGTGGCATAGCTTCCATCATCACAGCAACATGCAGACCACCACAGTACGACAAACTGACAGACGTGTGGGGCTGTAAAGATTACAGCCTAGGAAACCCTATGGGGCATTTCTACTGTGTCACACACGGGGTCGCCATTAGTCAGAATCAGCTCGACGACAGCAACAGTTTAGTCAGTGGGTTAGGATCTGTTGTTATTAGTATTTCTTTGAACGGTCAGATTGCCCCAGATCTGGCCCACGGGAGCCCCATCAAGCAGGTTCCTGTGTCCTTAGGCATGTGCCCGTCATTCTTTTGAGCTCTTCTTTACCTGCTGTCCTCACAAGATGTTCCAGGCACATCATGTTCTTCCCCTGCCCTAGCCTGCAATCAACCATTTTCTAAAGGATCCCTGGTCCTTTTTAGTGGTAAGTGGTATTTAGAAACAAGATCTGGATGCTGGATGTACTTGCTGCTACTAGGTATTGCTACTCCCAGGCCCTCTCAGCGGACAGAGCTTAGAGCATACACATACATACGCACACCACCAGCAACGTATCCAGACCTACACACACACGATGTCTCCATGTATTTCTGTATCTACATCTACCTATCTATCTGTCTATGTATACACAAGTATAGGTTCACATGGATACTTCCAATCCAGCACCACCAGGGTTCCGATTAGCCTTCCCACCTGTACGCTTCTCTCTTTCCTGACAGGAAGAACCAGGCTCCCTTTATCCTCTGTGTATCTGCTACTACTCCCTCCCCCTGCACGTGGCCTAGCTCCCAGCCCACTGAGCTCCCTTACCGCTTCCATTAACACCATCTTTGCTTGGGCCCCAGCCACCACCAGGCCGCCTTCTGAACCCTTTTCAGTATCTGGAACAAGCCAGTTTCAATTCTGATACATCTTTAGGAGAAGCCTGCTTGCTTCCCACTTGATTCCCAGGAGTACAGAGGCTGCCAGAGAGACGGAGTAGCTTTTCCCTCCAGGGAGGTTGGGTTCAGGGGGTGTGCCCTCAAGACCTCACGCAGCAGCCAGGGCTTCCACCTGACCCTGGTGTGCGCGGTCGGGGTCTGGCCACAAGGCAGCAACTCTTCCTTGCGCTCTGGCTGTGTTTCAGGAATAGCGAGTTTCTGGAAGCAGTGAGAAGAGACAGGCCACTTCATCCTGGGAAAGGGTCTCCCAAGTTCCCAAGCGCACACGCACACCACCCTGCTGCCCTGGGCTCCACCTGTCCCAGGTTTCTGTTACAGCGTGGGATGCCGTGTTTCTCCTTTCATTTCAGCATTCCACTTAGATTTTCTCTGTCTGCTGAGTGGGCCAGGCACCAGGTCCAGTGCTGGTGGGTGATCAGTGCTAGCGTTTTTCCAGCCTGCCGCCCCCTCTGGTCAGCCTGGGCCATACCCCAGGGATCACGTTGGTGTTAGCATTGGCTGCACAGAGTGGTGGAGGTACATCTATAGCCAAGGTGTAAGCACTTCGAAGCCGGCTCTAAGGGCTTTTTAAAAATTAGCTAAATTGTAAATTTCACCACAATTAAAAATAACTATCTAAATTGCCAGTTATCTTCTGAATAATCCTGTGCTTTGGAAATGTTGTTAGAAGCAGTCCAGTTGGTTCTGACTCCTGATGACCTCATGTGTTACAGAGTAGAACTGCCTCGTAGGGTTTTCTTGACTGTAATCTTCACGGAAGCAGATTGCCAGGTCTCCCGTGGAGCCGCTAGGTGGGTTCAAACCTCGATCTTTTGGTTAGTAGCCAAGCAGCTAACCATTGTG